AATTTTGTGGATAATTCAATATTAGGACAAAACTTTTCTGCTAGACACAGAAGACCCCATAAACCACCTACTTTTGACTACTTCAACCACTTGATTCACAACATCTTCAGTTAAGAGCCTAAACTATCTATAAAAGGGTGTGGAAATTTGAAGACCTCTCTGTTTGGTGAGTCTTGACACCTAAATTAGATACCTGAGTTCAAATTATGTGGTCGCTCCCTCCATGGAATAACCTACTGATCAAAGAGAAAGGGTGCAGAAATGACCTGCATGAAGGATCTATAGGTGCTTGGGGACAATGTAGTGCAAAGAAGAGTCAGTGTCTCCACAGGCAAACAAGTAGGTTTTATTAGCTCTTGCTTAATGATGATTTCCCTGGACCTGATCTGGCTTGTACAGGGCCACTGGAGTGTTTTCTGTACTAGCCTGCCGGGTCTGGGTGGGTTCATTGCCTCTGGCACAGCAATACATAGGGGTGAACTCAAGACCTAGCACAGGCTTTGGTTCAAGCAAGTACTTACTCCTGGAGAAAGGGCAGGAAAATTACAATTCTCTATAGGAGCCAGACCTGTCCAATTAGAAAAATGCTTTCATTTATAATCTCTTATGATCAAGTACATTTGCTATGGAAGTAATATCTTCTACAGCCTAGGTACAATCTAATTATCCCTCTAACAGAAATGCAACTTTTCTAACTCTTTGCCTTGATTTAGTGCAGAAAAAGACTTTATTAAAATAGGCTTTTTTTATTTTTGTTCATATCATCAGTTGCAAATTGCTGTCAATCACAGCAGCTCTCTGCTGTTTTCCTGGCATCATCTTGTGTCACACATTAAAAGACTCGTACTGACATTTGCTAGGGCACATATGTAAAGAATTCAACTTGACTGGCACACCCTGTCCTTTGGAAGAGTTTGTACTACTATATTCATTGTGAAGCTAGTGTATATAAAAGAGCAAGAGCCACATGCCTAATTTCAAAGGATGAGGCTAACAGTAAGAATCTAAACAAATAGCCATAAGCCTAGTAAAGTCAGGATTAGTGCAGATTGTGGTAGAAGCTGCTTCTAGACTGTGGCTTTGTGGATTTTCATTTTATACTAAGAAAACAACCACAGGACCACTAATTGCAGGTTCCTTGTTCTCTGGATACTCAGCTTGAACCAGCTCAGGGTGATTTTTGTAGAGGCTGAGAACTCAATAAACCTGAAGCCCGTAGAAGTCCTGGGTGAGTGGTAGTTATTGGACAGGTCTTGAGCATCTCAGGTAAAGTACACACTTAATAAGGGACTCAGTCTAGTGGCTGCTTCTGTAAATGCTGGGCTAAATATTTATGCAGTCTACAAAATCCTGTGCCAAGGACCCAGTACAAGGATACATGAGGAGGCAAATTGTGTTTGCAGAGTACTCAGCTGGCATGGTAACAAGCACTATAGGGAAATCTAAGATAAAGTAACTAATTTCATTAGGGAGGCAAGGCTCAGATGGCTTCCAAAGGCAAGACAAAGCCATATTTTGCATGATGAGAATGAAAACACATAGTAAAACATTATCTCCTTTTCTTCTGATTGGGATTTTTGATTTTTTTGATATATTTGATATATGTATGTGTATTATTAATGAATTATTTTGTGAATCTCAGTTTGCAGTGTTTGTTCCTTTTAAATGGATACTGTCTTATTCGGATTTAGTTAAAAATGGCATATCTTAAAAGAGATGCTAAATACATACTTTGAAAAAAGTTGGTGAAAGATATAGTCAGTTGAAGATGATGGAGGGACAGTGCATCATTCTGTATCCTTTGATCTGAGATAACAAACAAGAGGGAAGGGGTTGCCCAGAGAGGTTGTGGAGTCTCCTTCTCTGGAGATCTTCAAAACCCGCTTGGATGCAGTCCTGTGCCACGTGCTCTAGGTGACCCTGTGTGTGCAGGGGGGTTGGACTAGATGACCTCTAGAGGTCCCTTCCAACCTTAAGCATTCTATGACTGCTGCACTCTTTAAAAAAAATGTCTCGCAGTCCTTCACAGGTCCTGAAAATCCATATTGCACATCAGAAAGAAAAATACCTTTTTGAAGAGTTGAAGATAAGGTGTTGTCTGAATGTTTTGAAGCTGTCTTGAACTCTTCCAGAAGGGTGTCAGCTTAAATATTTTCATTCCAGGAGTTTGACACACTAATATATATTTGTTTTTCTGTAACATTTATGTTCATTTTCATATATGTTAGGAATAACGTTCTAAGAATTTTTTAAAGTTATATCCAGGGGCATAATTTTCTTTCATTGTGGATTGTGAATCCTGCTTCATTCTGTCATATTATTTTGCACTATAGCTTACATGCACTTCTGATTCTCATACCTATTTCTCCTTGTGTTCTCAAGGTACACAGCCATGCTGGAGCAAATTACTTCAGGTACCTAAGATGAGAAGATTGGGTTTGCATATTCATAGAAGAGATAATAAGGACAAAACGTGCTGCTTATTATGAGAACAGATGTCACTTAAACTGATGACAACATTGTACACAAATAGTCAATCACTGTTCTAAGTGAAAGTTGCAAGTGTAGCTAAAGAGATTTTTGCATAAAAAAAATAAGCTGGCTCCTATCTGTCATGTTTAAAGTTGCAGAACTGCAGTGTGGATATGTGATACACCTCTCTAATTTGCATTTAGAGATTTCACCATGGAACAAATCACATTTTGGCTATAAATTGCAAGACAGTATTTGCTGTAGAATAAATCACATTTCAGTGATACGGACACTGTAGCAAGCCAACAACTCCCTTTATAAAACTAATCCATGCATTAGTCTAAAATTCCTTCTATGAACTCTCTGATATAATACTCAATCTTTCTCTGTGTAATAAACTACATTACTCCTTCATCTCATTCTGATCAGGTCCTGGGCATGTACCTCAACGTGTTGAAGTGCCCAGATATAGCTACTGGGGAAATGATTTTCAAAACTAAGCCTTAGTTTTGTGCTTTGTCACCATTGCTATACACACAGAGCATGAGCCTTCAGTATTAGGGTAATATGCCTCAGTGGGGAAAATGCATTTCAGTAGCAGTTTCTCCTGTAGCCTAGAGAGGATTAATTGGATTAATTACCTAGAAAGGAGGAGCCAAAGCACTGCAGATCAGACGTGATCCTGCATGAGCCTGTTAGCCTAGGGAAGCATCAAGTAGAAGCCTCCAGCACCTTCTTGTGCTTCCCTGTGGTATCGGAGGCAGGTTGGAGTCAGCCCAGAGATTATGAAGATCTGGGGGCTGTGGCTGAGCAGCACCCTCAATTCTTCAGTCAGTCCAAACTGCCTCCAGAAATAAAAGAGGAGTCAGACTAAAGAGGCATAACTGAGGAACAGAAAAATCCTCCAAGTATATTTTGTAAACATTTATCTCCAAGCAACAGAGAGGGCCATATAAACACTAATTGACCTATTAGTGTAAAAGCTCCAAACTGGAAGCTATTTGAGAACAGTAGAAAAATATGTGCAGACTGTAAAAATGCTAGCCTTGCATGTAGATTAATCAAAAGTCTAGGGCTTTGGTATCCTTGCTTTGTACTCATACACTTCCACATAACATGAGCACATAACAGATATCAGGGAATCACTTATTTTAATGCTGTGTGTTCAGGAAGGGCCAATGACACTCAAATGTAATGTTACTATCTAATCTATTCCATACTTTAGTCTAATTCTCCCATTTTATTCTTCTTGGATTTTTTCCTTATCTGTTGATCCATTTCTGAGAGTCACACCCTTTTACTTTATAGATCCTTGAGGTCCCTCCTTATCAGTCTTTATTCTAAATTGTTTTTTCTGAGCAGTGTCATTAAAGGTTAGTTTATACTAGCAGAAGGTGAGACACACACAGATGCGCATTGCTATATGGTGCAGAAAAAAATTGAGACTATGATTTGTTCTGATATTCCATATATAGACAGAGAGACGAGATTAGCATCAGAAACATGAATGCCCAGACTCAGGCAGAAAAATGGAGAATGCTACAGAACTAATGCTGATGTACTAGATACAAACTTTTCCAACTTGTACAACTTGCAGCTGAGGAAACAGAAGCAAGGACATCCAATTATTTATCAGATTTAATTAGAAAAGTAATAATCTTGTTACCACTTAATGACAAATGTGTTTATCAGTTCGCTGAACACCCCAAATAGTCTTGTACTGGTGCAGCAGTTATTAAGGACTTATTTCAAATCACAATAATTTGGGAAAAAAAAAACCAGAAAAACAACTTGTTTACTGTTTTTGTTGTATGAGGCAATAAACAAATCAAGCATAGGTGTTTGAGCTCTTATTTTAGCCACTCAAGCATTGCTTCACTAAATTACATGAATACCATTATCTCATATAACTGCCTTGTTGTTAAAGTAGTTAGTGGGTTCTGAGTAAATCTCAGTAATTGTTCCAAACCTCAACGTGTGAAAACTAGGGAGTAAAATGAGAATTAATAGCTAAGTCTCTCAGATGGTCATATATGGAAAGTGTATTTTAATTGCTAAGTTTTGCAATGAAAGTTTAAGTCCAGATGCCTAAAGGCCAGTAAAATGCAGACTAAAGGTGTTTAGAAATTAGTTAGGAGTCTTACAAACTGAAAAGCTGGGACTGTATAAAGCACACAGATTTTTTCACCAGTTTAATCTCAGTGTAGACAACAGCATAAATTAGAACAATATCTTTTTAAAATACACCACTGAAATCAAGGGTAATCAGGGAGAAGGTTTTTCAGTTTTCACAGGATTTGATAATTACAAAGGTATGTTATGATCTTCTATCATTTTTAGTATATTTGCACAATGTGTAAACAACCATCAAAACAATAATTATAGAGATACCACTTGCCAAGCTACGCTTCTATTTTTACGACAAACGTCTTTCAAAGAGGTTTAAATGTATAACTAAAGACACTCTACAAATAAAGCTAACATTATTGGCCTGACAGAGTGCAGCTCCTCAGGACTTAGTTATCTCAAATATTTCAAACTCTCTTCAACTCTTCTCAGCAGCTTTTCTCAGTAACAGGCTCAGAGATAAACATGTTTTTACATGACATCCCACCAAGAGCACCTTGATCTCCTAGAGAAATCTGGATTCATAATTACAGATGAGTCATTTTAATTCATTTTTGACCATGAATTCATCAAAAATAGTGCTGGTAGAACTGTGGTAGAACTGACATTACTCACGAAAGCAAGATAAATTAAAATATATATTTTGATTAGAGAAGGAGACACAGAGAAGAATTTAAGTAAATAAAGTATTTCTTCTCAAGACTTCTAAGCAAATATTTGCAATGTTTTAGTTTGAAGTAACATCATATATTTACAAATTGACCTAAAGTAAAAAACAAAACCAAAACAAATCTTTTTTTTTTTTTTTTAAGGGGCGAAGTAGACAAGAGATTAAATGAGTTATTAAAGCTGTGGAAGCCAAAAGCACTTCACATTGATTCAAAATGAAAGCGTTTGTAAGAAATTTATTTTTCAGTTTCACCCAGACAAATCTCCCCTCTAAATATCTAAGAAATCAGCTTTGAAAATAGAATATTTAGGTGTTTTTAAAAAATATACACCTAAAACACTATATTGAATAACCACACCACAACACAGTCATGAGAAACAGGTCTTCTACTTTTCAGTATGTAGCAAATCTTCAGCTTCCATATGCTCAAGATAAATTTTGGGTACTATATCAGTACTAGTTAAAAAAAAATCTAGCCATAAGGAAGCACAACCAGAGTTTTACACATACCTATAGCTTTGGCTGAGCAAAGAAATTCACATTCTTCCTGAGCATATCTGACTTTTAAATATTGAGACTTCCTCCAAGCACTGGACTTGCCATTCCCACCCATGAGCCAATATACCCAACCTGTGCAGCCCCACCACAGACAGCAAAGATTAGTACAAAGCTGGCCAGATTTCCAGTGTGTTACTGGATAGGTCAAGATTAGTTAAATCTTGGAAGGAATATTAAGAGGATCTCTAGAAATTTAGAGAAAATAGTGTTAATAGGATGTGATTAGCAGGTAAAATGCTAAATTTGCTACCCCACATGAAACATCATCACAATATCTATTTAAACACAGTTAACTGTGAAAGGCAGAACGTAATTCTTGTGAGACAACAAAGATTTTGCTAGGGCTGTTCACATAGCAGACTAATGCTACTTTGATGCGTACTTGGTATACATAACATACATAGTATGCATTTCATATATTCTTCCTTCCCAGATAGACACCGCACATACCACATCACACTTATATTTGCATTTCTTTGCTGATGACCCTGGGTAACCTGTTACACACCAAAATAAATGGCAGGGGTATAGAGACAGGGTATATTACCTTGGACTTGGTGGCATGTTTTTGCGAATTCGGGTTTTCCCGACCAAAGCTGGTTTGTGCTCAGTGTGGGAGTGTGAAGCAGATAGGTGCTATCTGCACCTGCCTCTGTCAACACAACCTGAGCCTGGCCCTGAAGTAGGCATCTCTTCCATGGTATAATACAGGGCTATCATTTCATCTAATGGTACTTTGTGGGATTGTTTCTATATTGTTCTCAAGAGTCAGATAAAGAAGTCATTTTTCTACTAGAATTTATAAATCTAGTCAGCTTTGCAGTCAGTATCTGAATTACATCAGGATTTTCTCTCTTGTGTGTGGAGGTGTTGTCTACGCAAGGAGACAGTCCAAAAATATGCTTTTGGGGAAGGGCTCTCAACAGAAAGAAACTGTTTGGGTTGGTTAGTTTTCTACTCTTGATAAAACCTTCAGGGGTGTATTGAGACAGAAACGTAGCCCTGCCAAGTTTAATGATTCCACGCCCTTGAGAAATCTGAGGAGATATTGTGACTTTGGTAGTGAAGGAAATCGAATGGTTGAATCAACATGGATATGTGCTTTCTGTTCTAGGGATGCCTATTGGCTTTATTCTTTATGTATATTAATTGTCTGCTACATTATTGTATATATGTCTGCTATTTTCAAGTGCCATGAGCTTTGTCACTACTGCAAAATGCAACCTTTTTAGAGGGTAGGCTCTTCTGCCAGATCTTAGATGCATGTTTGCACACTGGAAAAAACCTATTGAAGTAAATGGTATGCACATATATTACGCATTTGTTACGACAAGATGAGACTCATCTTTGAACTTTTCAAAGTCCAATTATTATATATTTATGCTCCCCTATCACAAAAGATAACTATTTTAAAGGCAGCAAAAGCATGCATCTACCTAACACTTTGATCATAAAGGAAAAAGAAAAGCTGAAGCAATCTCCCCTGAAAGCAAAGTTTATCAGGCATGAAAAATTCCAGGAGATGGGTTTTCCCCAAGGTTTTGACCGTGCAGGGGTGAGAGGTTTGATTATAGAACCACCTCTGTGAATAGCAATTGACAATTTGATCCTGATATTTCCAAGTTGCTGTTAGAATAGTGTTAATTCACATACAGATTTTATCTTTTGGGCAACGAATAAAGAATTATAAGATTACAGAAGTGTTAGCATAGAATATCATGGCAATAGTAGTCTTACTACTGTAATCTTTGATATTCCTGCTTTTCGTTTATATCATTTGACTGAATTCATTCAACTAAGGGTGCTGAAATGTAAAAAGTTTATCTGCTTTCAGGAAAAGGTTGAACATGTACAGAGAAGCTTTGTGAACATATCTCAGACAACGTATATCATTTCAAATATGAGAGAAACCCATTTTTCTCCTTCAAATGATGGCATGTATACAAATACGCATATTCAATACTGTGAGTGCATCACAAGATTTTACCTGGATGAGATTTCAGAGGGTGACAGCCAGCCTTCCTGACTGGGCAGCCAAGCTAACATAACAAAGATAACAAATGTATTTTGAAGACAGTCTGTTTGTCGTGTTTTAATGAACACTGTCTCAATTGAATTATACCCAGTTTGTTAAAAGCAAAACAGAGCAACCCAGTGATTCATGCTTCCAATCTAGAGAAGCCAGGATTTTTGACATTTACATTTTTTTCAAAGAGGAAAAAATCTGGAGTGCAACCACTCAGTGAAAATATTCTATGCTGATACTTATTACTTCACTTTCAGCATGGTCTTCACTGGACATGACTGTCTTGTCGCTAAGAAACACTGATATATGATACGCAATTATATTACTGACATTGAATTTTTACTGCTTATTATGTTGTAGCTTGCTTGAAAACAGCTCCAATTACGTTGCGAAGGTAGTAAAACTAGCAGCATCTATTCAGTAGCTTTTGTATTTTAGTCACAGACTGAAATCTGTATCTTTTTACTACATGTTTTTAGTATTTTAGTTAAAAGGTATAATACTGTGCATTATTGATGTCCTGAACATTCATCTCCTAAACTGCCATGTTGACAATGTACAAATGTTTTCTTTATTTTTTTTTCAACATGTGCCAAATTACAGGAAAAACAGCATTAGGGTTTTCTCTATTTTCACCTTAATATTGCAGCCTATTTTGATCTGCACTTAATAAAGTTAGAAGCACTCAAATCCATAACTAATGTTTTTGAGGCATTGAAAATTTCACTTGTTTTCATCTAGCCAATAGACCAGTTGAAAGATAAAAAGAAAAATCTTTAATATATATCTTTTGTTGTTTTGTATGAATTAAAACTATTTTTTCTTCAAAATTATCACTTATCCAATAATAGTTGTATGTTGATGTGTGTTAAGTACATGCAATTTCTCTAGAGAAAAAGTAGCTTCATATATAAATGGTTCACCTGTCCTATCTTATATCACACTGGTGCACAAAAGCCCCATAGTCAAAGCAGGATTTCATTGCAGTCAATACTCCAGGAATATATATGTGGAGAGAAGATTCCTTTCCTATGGAGTTGACACTCCAAATAGTGAATGAATGGCAAGCAAATAAGGGCTAGATATATAAACATTTTGTAAAAGAAGCAGCACTCAGCAGGGGCTAAAAGGTTCAAGAGGGGGACAGCGCTTTCCCCTTCAGTAGAAGCCACAGAAGGAAAATGGACAATGCTGTAATGCAAAAGAAATGGATGAAAACTGGGTAGTAATACAAAAGAGCATGTGGCTGTAACACACTTGAAAAAGGTCATAGAAACTGGAACAAAAACAAGAGGAACGCAGCACAGGCTTAACCTCCCTAATACACATACCTAAGTAACACATGAGAACAGAGAAAAGAACATGAAATAAAGAATGGAAAAATAATGAAAAAAATACAGTTAAAAATATGCTATACCTTCAGCCTCCTGAAGAGGATCAAATCCAAACACCCCAGGATATCTTTTGGAGAACAGGCAGAGTATAAAATAAATCTAAAGGAATCCAACTCCTCTACATTTCCTTCCTATTAGAAAGTGTTCCAGAAGTGTACACTATGAGCTAGAGAGATTCATTTTGTTTACAATCATAAAGCAAATAAAACCAAAATATTCAGAAGGAATGAAAGGGTGGGCCACTATAAACCTCAAATACCCATAGCAGCAGTACCAAATACCCAATAAAACAGGATCACATTACGTACCACGTAATGCAGTACGTCTACCCACTTTTTGGACACCAACCTATTACGTCACTCTATTTCCATTCCCAGATGTACCACCATGTCCCTTGCCTCACCACTCTTGCAAGCACATTGCCCCTCCTTCTTGCACTTCGTGTTGCAAACATCCCCCGTCCTGCCATGTTTCCTCTCTCCCACTTCATTGCCCTCAATGCTGGAAGGCAGCACAAACTGTTCAGCCTCCCTCATGGGCTGAAATACCCTGTATTTCCCTCAACTGTCTGACTAGCTTTTGAGAATATGCATGTCTTCCCGTTTACAATATCATCAGTTAATGCACAAGTGTCTTTTGGCAAGGAATTGCTTGTATTGCAGTTGGCAGATATCCACATAAAAGGCAAGAGCCTTCTGAGGTGTGTTACACTTGCTCTGTCCAGGAATTACTGGAAAAAACATCAAGACAATATGCAATGATATACTCTTGCTGTATATGGTCCCATATTATCATTGCTTCCCTGATTTTATTCTTTTTCTCTAGAGCACAGTAGAAAGTCAGTCTCACAGCCACCTGTAGCTGCCTTTAGCTGCCTGTGTTGCATTTCTGCATCCTTAGATGTAAGCACTATGTTTTTCAGACAATCGATAATTATGTTGCTACATTTTTAGGAGTCTTACTATTAGACTTGGGATTTCATTTCTCATGGATATTCTAGTCTTTTTTTGTGGTAGTATGAGTATCCAGTATTCTGGATTTCCTGAACAGGTTTATGAGAGGCGCTGGGACAGCTGGGTTCTTTCACACAAAATTTTGATTTTGCTAGAGAAGGTCTTACCGTGTAACCTTAACTTTCCACTGATTAATGAACACTGTATTTTCTTGTACTGTTTACAACTGAACCTGTTCGTATTTACTGGTGTTTTCTATATAAAAGATGTCTTCATGTGAAACTCATGCTTCAGATGCTTGTCAGGGATTGCAGCTGGTCTGTGAAATCCCTGGCTCCCTTAGCAGAGAATGTTAACCTTGAAAAGATTAGAGTGTATCTATGAGATAGGGAGTTCACACGGAGACAGCAGAAAGTTATTAACAAGTTTAAGGAGGTTTGGCCATGGAGCAGAAACTGGCCAAGCTAAGAATCATCCAATCATAACTCTGTCACTAGCTACTGTCCTTTGTAGTCCTCACCAATAAGCAGCAGCCACAACGAGGAGAGCTCAGTATAAATAATGTACTTGGAAAACAATAAAGCGTAGTTTGCGTTGCATCTACCCCAGTTGTTCGTGTTTTTGGCCGCCACGACTGCGACAGATGCTTAGAGAAAAAACCTTCAGACATATTGCAACTGTTACTGAAGTCTTGTTTTGTTTGTATGTCTATTCTTATTAATATATGCAAAGTCTGTTCAGAAATCTGTCATATTTTTATTTCTTTTTTTTTTAACTATGATGTAAATCACACTTAAGCCATCATTATGTATCCGATCACATATTATGAAATCAACATATTACAAAAGCAGATATACTGTTTTTGAGAGTCTGGGTGAGTTTTTTAAAAATCCAAAGTTTCCTTTTCTTCCAAAGTGTTCAGGTATGTCCTGTGCACTCATGTCTAGCTTGCCTGCAATTAGGCAGAATGTGCTTTGCTTTGTGCTAGACAGTATTGTGGTTTTAATAGCAGACAGTCAAGCTGTCATCTTTTTCACAGAAATGCTTTTTATTCCTTCTTTTTTTCTTTTACGAAAAGGTATTTGTCCCCCACCTCCCTCTGCACGGGTTGCAGACACTTCCTTACAGGCACCTCACAGGGTAATAAGGGCACTGAAGGATTTTCACACTGTCCCAGCTGAAGTGAGCTATTGTGCGCGCGCAATTACCAAACAGATCTGCAATTGCTGCAGAGCCTGGACAGGAAGGTTCCTGGCCCGTTCTCACCTACCCTGAGCAGTCCTGAGCAGCTAAGTTGCAGAGTTTCACTTGTTTTTAATATGTATAAAATGGTATTTCATGCCATGAAAGTTTCTTTCCTACAACAACCTTGATCATTTATATAATAAAGTACCATTTAGCTGCTGTTCATCCCACATGTCTGCTTGTTAATACTCATTTTCTGATGAGAATGAAAGAAGGTATGTCTGTACATTACCACTGAATAATTTGCCAGAGATACCTTGTAGAGTGAAAGATTCATTTTCCTTATGTATATACTAGTGCTTTTCATTTGAAAAGACTAGACGATTAACCACATTTCTAATAAATAATATTCTTCAGTTGTTTCCTTACCTACAAAGAATGCTGGTTATTTCTCTCAGCAATGGGAATATCATTCCTTGATTTAATATCCATTGCCACAGCTGGTGTTAGAGGATCTGAATGTTTTTATTGACAGTCTACATTGTTTTCTACTTTCCTAATTTATTCTTGTCAAAACAAGTATATGGAATTAATCATTAACTTTCCTTGGGATAAAATCCAGAAACCCTTCAAGTCAATAACAAAATTGCGATCACTTCAATGAATTTTACCCTTGTTCTTCATAGCTTTAAAATATGTATTTATTCAAAGCTTTAGAACATGTATAGGCAGCTGTTATGGTGCCAGGTATTGCTACCTAATTATGAAGAGAGAAAAAAGGCTTCAGAATGGGTTAGCTTCTGCTGTGCATTCCTTGGTCCTTGTTGGATTTTTCCTTGATGAATCTGCGGGCGCTCAATATTTTGGAAAATGTGGGAAACTGAGAAACCGTGAGAAACTGTGGGAAGCTGTGGGAACAGTGAAAGTTAGGAGTGAGAAACTGTGAAAGTTAGGAATAACAGATTAGCAGATAGAGAAACCTAAAACACAGGCCGGACGCACCAATCTCTGGTTGTTTACCTGTTGTCCATTAGCAGGATTGGACCCAGATAGCAATAGAGTCAAGGAATTGGCTGGAGGCAGGGGGAGGGAGCGTGTGGACAGTGCATGCTCACATACTCGGAGAATATATAAGTTTGGTCTGATGCTCAATAAAATGGCTTCTGGTCCTAAACCTTAAGCCCCTGCTCCTTTCGATGACTCCCACAGGAAAATAGGATTACCTACTGCTATGCTTCAATATTGTTTTAAGAAAAAGAAAAAGAAAAACACAAAACAGTGCTTTTATCCCACCAGTCTTAGAGAACAAATTTTGCAAATCTACACAAATTACTAAACAGAGCATAAACAAGAAGAAACATCTCCTTAGATCAGAAATAAGGAATCTTTGGCACTAAACGTCAAGTATTTCTCAACCCAACAAAAGTGTTTCCATTGAAAGCAGATTAAAACGTCAACTGCAAGTAAATCACAGAAATCCCAAGCAAGTGAAAACACAGTGTAGTAATTGAGATAAACATAAGCTAGGTACTTGATATCAACTGCTAAAACAGAATTAAGCAGGTATATTTAGAACAAGGTTTACTTTAGCTCCATAAAGATTTATTCATAAAGACACTTTTATTTTGATTCTCTCAGTCCTGAAGTTAATCATCTACCATTCGCCTGAATCAGTGTCATCTTGCAGTTTGCAATGAGGTAAGCACTATCAGAAAACACTTGTTGTCTTAGCAAAGTCCCAGTTTAATGTAGAGTTTCCTCAAATTCTATCCATAACATGTTAGAAAGAGACTCATTTTCTGTTTTTTGGCTCAAATTACCAGAATTAAAATAGCAGAATTTGTGGGAGAGAGGTTTTTGCACCTAGGTTTTTGCCAAGTGTGTACCTGTCAAATTAGTCTTCGGGTGAAACATGGCTAAAGACACCTTGGCTTGCTCTCTTCTCCTAACTCGAGGGTCAGATCACCATCCAGAAATCAGGAGACACAGATTCAGTTCCTTCATTTTGAGGATGGGTCCAAACACATTTTCTGCCTTCTGAAAGACTGTAGGTGCTGGAATGGAAGCCCACTTGATCCTCATAGAGCAATTTCTCTTTGTATGGAAATATTAAATATTAATTGGGAATGGTAAGGCTGTGTGGGACTTTACTGTCTAGTGGTTAGAGTGCTTTCCCGAGAGAAGGAAGTGCTGAAGCTCTATTCTTGTTCTAGTTAATATTTATTATCCATAGTAAATGCTTAGTAGAATAACGACAGGAAAGACTGGTCTCTAGCTTCAAGAGGAGAAACCAAATTTTTATGACTCATCACCCATTCAACACCAAAATAGTTTGAAGTCTAGAAGCAGAATGTTAGTGTGGTTTGCTTGGAATCTGGATCAGGAAAACATCCTCATTTCTCTGGGAAAAGATTCTCTCTTCCTCATCAGGGAAAGCAGAGGAGGGGCTTGGGCTACACATACTTACCAGACTCAAACTTTTCCATGAGGATGTGAGTAAAGTGCCTCTGTCCCAGAAAATATGAAACTCAATAAATACTCTTTCTTTTTTAGACTTTCCTGGCTGACTATTCACCCAATGTACTTCTTTTGGATCCCTTTGCAGAAGCCTTTTATTCTTTTTATGTGTAGTTTGCAGAGATTAAAAGCTAAACACAGGTAAGTGGGGTTCACTTCTGTGACCAGATATCTAAATTTCAGATATTGCAATGCTCTACATTATAATGATTGGATTTTTTTTTTTAACTCTAGACCTAGATCACAATAATCTGAAAAATGAGCCTGAACATAATATCTCAACATTTTGTTTTGATCATCAATAGCAGGTCATTTTAGTGTGAATAAACAGATCTCGAAGAGGATGTGAAAAACAGAGGGCTTGGAGGCAAAAGGAGATAGGAGGGCATCTTTGAGGAAATACTGTTTCTTTAGAGTTTGAGTTAGAAAGACGTAGTTAAATAAAACAAAGAAAAGCTAAAATTGTTTTGTTAATTTTAGTATGGATCAGGTATCCTAGATTGCAGTAACATCTCTGGTCTTAATCACTGACAAAATCCCAGGTATAAGCCCTGTAACTGTTGTTTTTCTCTGCGTTTGATATTTTCTGTATATCATCTTCCTCTATGCTAGAGGAGATAGAAATAAGTCATAAAGGAAAATACTTTAGCAAGTATGCTTCATGCTGAGTTCTGGCCTGCAGAACATCAAAAGTTGATTGAAAAACAAGGCAAAGATTTATCAAAGGCTCAAAATATTTACAAATACAAACAATTGATCAAACAAAATTGGTTATATAAAGAATAAACAAACATTCAAAGTTTTGCCTAGGATGTATTTAGTTATAAAAGAAAACCCAGGCAGGAGCCCTGCACAAAATGGTCTGTGGATGCAAAGGAAAAAGACTGCAAATCACTGCATATGCATATGATTTGCGTATGAAAACAACACTCAGCATAACAGATGCCAGACCTGCTGAGATGGTACAATACACTCAGAAAGTTACTTAGGGTTGCCAGGGTAATGTGGAATGTTTTGTTGATTGTGGGGATGTTTTATCCTCATCATTCATTCTGTGTATGCCTAGTTCCACATAAATTAATCATCTCCAGTTTATACCTTGTGATCATCCATTTATTTGCACCCTGAATGGTTTTGGTGCCTGTTTATTATTTTTATTTCTTTGTCTTAGTCATCTAGTCAAAAGATGTTTTTTTTCAGCCTTTCAGCAAAGTTAACAAGTTATTATTTGCAAATCAGAGACTACATTATCTCTAGTAAAGATGATTCTGTCTTCAGAGCTGTAGTTTGACAGTTTCAGAGTGCACTGAATACCAGAACCAGTTGTTATCTCTTGAATGATGATTTGGGGACAGATTTTACATCTTTTTTACCCTCTCTGGATTGAATCATATCATCCTACAAATCTTTGACTCAGTTTCTGGGCATGCACTTCTACACTTCTATTTGTGAACACTGTTATCCCACTCGGCCCCTAGTAGTTTTGTGGTTCGAAGCACTTTTTCTTTTTCTGGATCCCATGATCCCATTTTTACCATATATGGTAAAAAAAAAGCAAAAAAAAAAAATTTGTTTTTTTTTTTTTTTTTTTGCAAAAGAGCAGTGACTGTCTATGCTGCTTTTCAGGCATAAAAGCAACGTTTTCTACTGAGCATTCTGGTGTGGGAAACAGTCTGCCTGAGGGTAGGTGGTGGGATTTCATATAAAACTCCAGACCATTACTGCTCCCATTCCCTATACCTAAGCACAAAGCACAGGAAGAGGTGAAGAGAATTTGGCATCTGAGATAGTCATTGTTTATATTGCTTATATGGTAGAAGTAAATGACCGTGTCCAACTGATGGTGAAAATGGCACAAGAACAAAAGACAATTAAAGGAAAGATTTTATTTTTTTTTAGTTAGACAAATTGAATGGTTTCTAAACTGTGTTAGATAAAGAGTAAAACTACACAGGAGACCAGTGCAGGACACTGGTGTGGCCCTAATCCAGGTAGGGCTGTCAGGCTTGTCTGTATCATAAGCAACTGGAAATGCTGTTGCCTTTGGCTTTGAGTGCTCAGCATGGAAGCTCTGTCGCCCCAGAAGCCACCATCTATCAACTAGCAGCCTTCACAGAGGAGTTTCCATGAGAACCCAGGTAGTACCTTAGCACTAGTTATTAAAAAGGTGACTTATCAGTAGATCATTCAGCTTTTAATGGAGTGTTAAGCATATGACAGTTTGTTTTCAGCAAAAATGCAATGCAGTAAAACTGTAAGCGGTTCTAACTAGAATCTAAGCAAACTGGGACAACAGAAAAAGAAGGAACACATTCTCTCCCAGCTGGTGTTTAAGCTGTTCTTACCCCAAAAGTGCCTGCCAGCATGACCAGGAAGTCAATATATTTCTGAGGTTTAATCACGGAGAATATTGTTAGGAGCTTTATTGCTTTCCTATCAAGCATCCTACTGCTCTTCAGTGCCTTTGTTGATACCATGCTAGAGAAGTAGTTCACAGAGAGAATGAGGTCTGTCAGAAAGACATTCAAATACTCTGAAACTCTTATTTTCAAGATTTTGTTATTTAAAAATGGGTCTGATTACTAAAGCATCTCAAATCCCATTCAGGCAACTCCATAAAGTGAAAGTTGCAAAAGAACTCATCATTGAGGACAGAATTGAAATGTGCCCATGTTTATGGACGGTGAAAAGTTTTGCCATGGAGCCACAGAGTGATAATCAGCACTTTTGACATCTTAAACTAGAGTAGCAATGAAATAGCTGAGTCACAATCTCTTAAAATACCATAGTGCTTTTGGCAACATACTGTGAAATTGCTCATTGTTGTGGTTAAAAAGCCACAAAAAAAAATTCACTCTTATTCCACCCTTAAGTTTTTGGTATAGTCAGCAAAACATACTGTGATTAATATGATACTTACAACATTTTGAAGAAGGTTAAGTGTATTTAAATGTTCTGGAATGTCAAAGTGCCACATGAAAGTGTATTAGTGCTCTGTGCTGAGGAGAATATAGCATCATAGCATTTGTAGCAGATATTGCAAATAATGAAAATAGAAATAAAAATGTTGATCATTTTGAGTTCCCAGAGTAATGCTACTGAGTAATGCTACTGCAAAATAAATTCTGCAATCTGATAGCATCTAATTAAGCATTTAAATATGAATGCTCTCCTTTTTAGATTGAAAATCTGTCTTGAAGATAAAGACAGCTGAACATCTGGGGCACACAAA